TTTTATCGTCTTTACCTGGCTCTCGTTCGTCCAAGATTTCGGTTCTGATCCCGAAGACCTTGACTTGGGACTCTCGGGTGGATTGAGACTGTCGTCTGTAGAACTTTCAGACCCTTCGCTGAGTCTCCGGTCCTGCAAAGCTGCCTGATGTGATGCCCGCTCGACCCACTTCTGCAACCTCGATTGAATTTGCCCAGAAAGCTGTTGCACGTCGTTGGGATTGCTCTCGAAGACGAGATTCGATGCGATTTTCTCGTTGTCAGAGCTTGCACTCTCATCGGAGTATTCTCCAGATGTTTTCGATACTGCACATGGGGGTCTGTTAACTTTCATCAGCGCACGCGAGTTTGTCGCGGTAGCGTTAGTGTTCATGTTTTTAGCCCGACGACTCGCACTCACCGCAACACTATCAGTTTGATCTTCGGGGCTCAAGTCTTTACTACAACAGTTAACGTTGTTCTGCTTTTGCAGGCTACTGCTGGGCTCACTCGATGACTCATGCAACACCATACTGTGAGTTAGACCCCGTGGTATTCCATTCTTTGGGTACGCATCAATTTTGCTGTTCTCACGGGTGCCTTGGTTCTTTGTAAAACTGGAGGGAGGAGTAGAGATGGAGCTTTTTCTTGGCTTTTTCGCAACTTTTTCGCCGTAAGTCATCGGTATAGGAGCGCTGTGTGCCCGTGAATGATACGTTACGGGCATGGCATTATTAATTTGTAGCTGCAATGCGTAATCCGTCATTTCCGCAGCATTTTCTTGACAACTAGCGGATCGCTTGTCGCGAACGTTGGTACTAGCTTTTCCCATCCATTTTTGAAGCTTTGCTTTTACACCATTCGAAATATTCACGATAGGTACGCTCCCGTAAGAAGAGGCCATTTCAACTTGAGCTAGACGACAAGGAGGTTTACAAATTCCTCTCACCGCATTTGCATTACTTTGTACACAAACCTGTGGGAGGTATGAGGACACGATTAAACTATGCTTAATGGTTTGTCAATAAAGCTCTCGAGCCCATCTTCAGGCTAGCCAACACGGTGAAGATCTAAATTTGTTCGTATATGAGGAGATCTTACCTCAGTGTCTTGATCCGATGAAATCACTCCGTCCGAACACGAACAATATTTATCCAGATCTCGTGTTTACGTCCAACTGAGCTGGTGTATAGAGTTTCAAACCAATTGTAATAATAACCAACTTGGCGCACGTTAATATCGATCGTTATCACGCAATTTAATTAGCTATAGCGTTCGAGGTGTAAAACTTTTTGAAGCCAATTACAAAACATCGACTCAACCATCTCGTCATTTTAACTCCCTCACGTCATTACAGCAATTAAATTAAAGCCATTGTGGACAAGTATGTATCAATTCTTTGCGAATGCAAATACAGTTGAAGGCGTTATATTATTATATCATTTCACCGTGACCTCAGATAGCAACAGTGAGTTTCATTGGTCCAGAATCACTCACTGTTCAATGACTCAATTGTCCGTTGTGGACAAACGCCTGATTGTCGCTACACGTTGTCTACGTAATTGCAATGAACCCAGAAAACCCTCTGAAGGGACTTCAAAAGTGACTCGTGCGCAAAAGTTACGTTTTGAAATACAAGGAGGCCGACATTGCCTGTAGTCAGATATTGTGTTGATTTAAATAACTCATTCTTTTGTATGACACTTAAGGCGACCAGAAAATAATAGCATTAATACATCATTTTCTGCCCATGACAGAATCTAAATTAAATTGACGCAACTTAAGCCCCAAACTCATAATGAACTCAACAAAAGCAAAAAGGTAAACTTAGCAGAGAACTAATTAAAACTTAAGTAAGTTACAAAGAGGAATCGGCTGACAACAATGTGCGCCTGGAATAGATTGCAATGGCAGTCTGCTAATCCATTTGGTCCAGTCGATGTTTGCCTTTATTTTTATGCAAAAATCGAGCTCCTTCTAAATAAAGGGCATTAATCACTAAATTGGAATTTCTTTTAATGCGATAATTAGTTAACGCGCAGGGCATTTTGTAAACGGACATGTAGATGTTTGTCCGGATGGCCCACGTTGCATCACATAACGACTCTTAATCTGTTTTCGTTTTAAAGATACTTGTGGCTTCGTTTATATAGGCTTAAGAGCTATTCTTGTGCTTTGCGAAGCAACCAAGAAGAATTTTTTCCGACGTCAGTGGCTGCGTTGTATGTGAGCGGCAGTTCCGGATGTGTCTCGACAAATCCAAGAGAAGGTTTATCGCCGCAGGGTACTAAAGATTCATTGGAGGTTAAGAAGTCTAACTTTTGTCAGCACTGTGCCACATTTGTGTCTATAAGTACGAGTTCCTTTTATAAAACTCCGTAGTTGAGTTTTTCCGGCTTAAGCGTACCAGGGTTAAGACTGTGGAAGACTTCAGAAATCACAACGCNTTTTTTTTTTATTATTATTCTTTTCCAAAAAGCCCTTTTCTACAGTAATTTCAATTCGGTTTTGAGCAAAGCCAATATAAGCACGGTTGTTGAGGTAACCCTAGCAACCCTAACTCCTTAAGCGCACGTAAATAGTGTTAAAATGAGCCGGGCTTTGAAAGCCGGAACGAAAACATTTCTTGCAAAAATAAGCTCGAGACTGGGGGGTGTAAAGGAGATGAGGATAAACTTAATACAAAGAAAATCCACAAAAACTCACGAGATGAAAAATCACGACAGATTAGTCAATCACGCGAGCAAATTTATTTAAGGAGACCACGGCACGCGATCCAACATATTGATAAAAGTTCGGAATACTCCTGAAAATGAAAATAAATTCTATAGCATCCTGTAGCTGATTTCATTACCAAAAAATGTTGAGAAATTAAATATGCGCTGTTCTTCAGCGGTAACATTCATGGGTTATTAAAATAAAAAATGTGACAGTTAATTCATTTGGTAGCCGCGATATAATTATCGTTGCCTCGGGGTCAAAAAAGCACGAATTGTATAACGAATAATCAACAGATACAAACTTCAGCGATGAAACAACGATGAAAGGATAATGTACTAGCAAGCATTTTTGGCAAAAATATACGTGTCAAGTTTGTTGACCCACTAGAAAGGCACTTAAATGAATGTATATATAATAATGTTACGTAGATATTAATCTTTGTTCAAATTTTGTAAATAATATGGAATTTATATTTCGGAATATACTTTGACAAGAGAAGATAAAAATAAAAATCTGTTCCCTTGGTCTGATGTTGAATGTCTCAGAGATTTAAGCTTTGCATGCGGGAGACTTTATCAGACGGATCTCTCTTTTTCTGCAAAGTCCAGGTACAATTGGCTTAAATATTAAGCATTTAGTCAAGCAAGAGCTTTAATGATCTCCATGCAATGCATGGCTGAAGATGATTTCTATGATATATATTTAATTTTCCATTACTTAGCTTCACACCGAAGTGTTCTAGAGTCAAGTCAAATGAGAGCTTCAATGTCCACGCGGACATTGGTCATTGGGTAAAGTCCCGATCTTGAGGGTGCACTCATCTTTCTCTTTCTCAGCTTTGGCCTCTTAGAAGCCTTGTCGACTTCATTGCCGTTTTCGTCTTCAGCTGGTTCTTTACCAGTTAGAACAGAACTGCTGGTTGCTCGTTGTTTTGTCGTAGAAGTCGAGTCAGATAGTCCATGATAAAATGGATCTGGTTTAGTGTTCAGTGACTCTAGGGCTGACGGAAACGAAGCCGCGGACCTTCTCGGCGGAGGCAAGGGCGCGGACGGCGCATTTACTGTTTCTTTTTTCTTTTGTTTTCCATTTTCAGAGTCGACGTTTTCTTTTGGTATGTAAAACATTGGCATTGAAGGGAATTTATACAAACGTTGCGAACTCACGGGATCCCGCTGGGGATTACTCGACGAGCGTTCTAAGGATTCTTTTTTCGCGACACAATTTCCCTGTGCGGGATCAATAAACTCTTTCGTGAACCACTCGGCTTCTTCCGCAGTACGGGCGAAACTGTAACGTGATCTACGTTCGTTTTCGACGGGCTTGTTTGCGGTTTCATCGTCCATTGACGATCTGCACGAGTCAGTCGGAGTTGTCGATCTTTCGGCCTCGTCAGTTTTGTAATCTTCATCCTGTGAGGAAATGATGACAATGGGTTGTAGCTCTGCTATCTGAACAGACTGAGCACCGTTAGTTTCGTTTGTGTTCGCTTTTTTCGACAGCTGAACTGTTTTGTCGCCGAGATTCTCTTTTTCCACGTCTCCTTCCCGCAAGATTTGTTTCTTTTTGTTTGCATGTCGCACGCACTCGACGGCGAAAGCGGAAAGATCAGCATCTTTGAACTTTAAATATTGTCTCATGCTTTCTCGAACTCTCAAATCGGGGACGACCTTTAAAGAACTTCCATTGGGATCTGTCATTTGCTTTCTCAATCCTGGACGTTCAAGCTTTTTCCCTGGTCCATCTCTTGGCCTGTTTTGACTATTTTCTGAAAGTTTAGAATTGTCAGTGTCATTTTGCCTTTCTGCTAATTCCGATTTGCCTGAACGATTTTTGATAGTAGCTTCCAGCGAATATTCACCCTTGCCTTTGTTTTTCATTGAGTCATAGTGATTTTTTTTGCTGTTAGTTTGGGTTGTCCTTTTATTCTGAATCGGACATTGTTCAATGAGAGTTTCGCATAGCAAAACTTCCTGCAACGTGACGGATCTGCGGCCATTCTTGTGTGGGTGTACATACTTTCTACTCTGATCACGAATTGGGCAACTAGATTCAAAAATAACGTCATCGAGGTCTTCCATCTGATTCTCCGAACACAGCTCATTTGATTTTTCGGGGTTGTCAATCATCAATTTAGCATCCCCGTCTGCCATATTGACACTTGCGTCTGACTCGGTACTTAAGCTGCTATTTCTGTTCTGGTGGAATCCAGACTCGCTACCATCACGGGAGAGTTTGTTCAATAAACACTGATTCCCGTTTTCATCCAATTCTTCGTTGTCTTTTTGGGAATTGTTTCTTGATCTCTGCCCACTAGAACCCGGCGAACGAGTTCCACCTTGCTTCGAAGGCCAGTTTCCCCCTCTTACCCCAACGTTTCCCACCAGTTCTTTCAGAGCAAGCTCCAGTTCTTTTATCGTCTTTACCTGGCTCTCGTTCGTCCAAGATTTCGGTTCTGATCCCGAAGACCTTGACTTGGGACTCTCGGGTGGATTGAGACTGTCGTCTGTAGAACTTTCAGACCCTTCGCTGAGTCTCCGGTCCTGCAAAGCTGCCTGATGTGATGCCCGCTCGACCCACTTCTGCAACCTCGATTGAATTTGCCCAGAAAGCTGTTGCACGTCGTTGGGATTGCTCTCGAAGACGAGATTCGATGCGATTTTCTCGTTGTCAGAGCTTGCACTCTCATCGGAGTATTCTCCAGATGTTTTCGATACTGCACATGGGGGTCTGTTAACTTTCATCAGCGCACGCGAGTTTGTCGCGGTAGCGTTAGTGTTCATGTTTTTAGCCCGACGACTCGCACTCACCGCAACACTATCAGTTTGATCTTCGGGGCTCAAGTCTTTACTACAACAGTTAACGTTGTTCTGCTTTTGCAGGCTACTGCTGGGCTCACTCGATGACTCATGCAACACCATACTGTGAGTTAGACCCCGTGGTATTCCATTCTTTGGGTACGCATCAATTTTGCTGTTCTCACGGGTGCCTTGGTTCTTTGTAAAACTGGAGGGAGGAGTAGAGATGGAGCTTTTTCTTGGCTTTTTCGCAACTTTTTCGCCGTAAGTCATCGGTATAGGAGCGCTGTGTGCCCGTGAATGATACGTTACGGGCATGGCATTATTAATTTGTAGCTGCAATGCGTAATCCGTCATTTCCGCAGCATTTTCTTGACAACTAGCGGATCGCTTGTCGCGAACGTTGGTACTAGCTTTTCCCATCCATTTTTGAAGCTTTGCTTTTACACCATTCGAAATATTCACGATAGGTACGCTCCCGTAAGAAGAGGCCATTTCAACTTGAGCTAGACGACAAGGAGGTTTACAAATTCCTCTCACCGCATTTGCATTACTTTGTACACAAACCTGTGGGAGGTATGAGGACACGATTAAACTATGCTTAATGGTTTGTCAATAAAGCTCTCGAGCCCATCTTCAGGCTAGCCAACACGGTGAAGATCTAAATTTGTTCGTATATGAGGAGATCTTACCTCAGTGTCTTGATCCGATGAAATCACTCCGTCCGAACACGAACAATATTTATCCAGATCTCGTGTTTACGTCCAACTGAGCTGGTGTATAGAGTTTCAAACCAATTGTAATAATAACCAACTTGGCGCACGTTAATATCGATCGTTATCACGCAATTTAATTAGCTATAGCGTTCGAGGTGTAAAACTTTTTGAAGCCAATTACAAAACATCGACTCAACCATCTCGTCATTTTAACTCCCTCACGTCATTACAGCAATTAAATTAAAGCCATTGTGGACAAGTATGTATCAATTCTTTGCGAATGCAAATACAGTTGAAGGCGTTATATTATTATATCATTTCACCGTGACCTCAGATAGCAACAGTGAGTTTCATTGGTCCAGAATCACTCACTGTTCAATGACTCAATTGTCCGTTGTGGACAAACGCCTGATTGTCGCTACACGTTGTCTACGTAATTGCAATGAACCCAGAAAACCCTCTGAAGGGACTTCAAAAGTGACTCGTGCGCAAAAGTTACGTTTTGAAATACAAGGAGGCCGACATTGCCTGTAGTCAGATATTGTGTTGATTTAAATAACTCATTCTTTTGTATGACACTTAAGGCGACCAGAAAATAATAGCATTAATACATCATTTTCTGCCCATGACAGAATCTAAATTAAATTGACGCAACTTAAGCCCCAAACTCATAATGAACTCAACAAAAGCAAAAAGGTAAACTTAGCAGAGAACTAATTAAAACTTAAGTAAGTTACAAAGAGGAATCGGCTGACAACAATGTGCGCCTGGAATAGATTGCAATGGCAGTCTGCTAATCCATTTGGTCCAGTCGATGTTTGCCTTTATTTTTATGCAAAAATCGAGCTCCTTCTAAATAAAGGGCATTAATCACTAAATTGGAATTTCTTTTAATGCGATAATTAGTTAACGCGCAGGGCATTTTGTAAACGGACATGTAGATGTTTGTCCGGATGGCCCACGTTGCATCACATAACGACTCTTAATCTGTTTTCGTTTTAAAGATACTTGTGGCTTCGTTTATATAGGCTTAAGAGCTATTCTTGTGCTTTGCGAAGCAACCAAGAAGAATTTTTTCCGACGTCAGTGGCTGCGTTGTATGTGAGCGGCAGTTCCGGATGTGTCTCGACAAATCCAAGAGAAGGTTTATCGCCGCAGGGTACTAAAGATTCATTGGAGGTTAAGAAGTCTAACTTTTGTCAGCACTGTGCCACATTTGTGTCTATAAGTACGAGTTCCTTTTATAAAACTCCGTAGTTGAGTTTTTCCGGCTTAAGCGTACCAGGGTTAAGACTGTGGAAGACTTCAGAAATCACAACGCAAACAACCCCTTATAATATTTTCTGTTGCTCCAAAGGATTTTTGACTTACTAGTGTTTTAAGCCACACTAACTAAGCATTACGATTTGCTATTTCTGTTTTGCTACATAAGGCAAGCAAATAAACAACCGCAATTACTGAATTCATCACACAGTCCAAAGTGCACTTTCAGTTTTATATGACTCAATTTAACATCATTATCAGTCTGCCACCTTCCACTGAACGGACTATGAACGAGCAAAAGTCGGACGTGAAATCAGATAGGAGCCTAAGAGAGATTATCATTTAACACCTTACATCATGAATGAACTTTTGTTAACTCTTGTTCACGCGATGCAGTTCTATCCAGTGGTGCTTTACCATACCTTTTGTTCTCCCTATTTCGATGAGTTTTAACAAACATTGACAACCACGGGGGTTTCCAAAGGGAGGAACAATGCCCTTAAAGCATGCCAAATAGCGCGTTTTGTTGTTGGTTTTCGGTTACCGATATGAAGACATGAGGCATTTGTGAGTAAGGTCCATTAATAGAGCTGATTCCATTGAGAAAGCAGTTTTCTGAAATCCTCGTGAATCATGCCATTCATGATTACGTAAGGTGCAGAAGTTTCCTTTCCATGAGCAAAGCTTAAGCTGACTCAGTATAGAGTATCTTTCTTATCAGTTTTATCAAACCTCGCCAAGATCAACTGAGGATCATGAACCAAGTGAAACATACAAGGGCGTTGATACTATGATCTTACGAGTGTAGTTGCATAACACGAAGACTCCAAAGTAGTTTTCCAAAACAGTCCTAACTCAAGTTTAGAAGATTGGGTGAATGCTTCATTGAACGTGGTTGTTTAATTGTTTATTATTATTATTATTATTATTATTATTATTATTATTATTATTATTATTATTTATTAAACAACTTAATCCAGTCATTCCCGGCTCAATAAAACCAACAGATGCTATAAATATTTGTTTATCTCACCACCAAAATAGTGAAATGATGAAAAGTGCGACTCGAGAGAACATGCCTGTTTAACAATATGCTCAATTCAGGTATGGGTGTGTAAGATCCACAGACCCGTCCTAATTGTATTTTTGTTAATAAAAAAGATACAAATTTATCTGAATAGTAGCTTGCCTTTACAAAATTCCAATATAATTTTCTTAGTGACCGGCATAGCCTAAATAGAAATAACCTAAGACCATACTCTTCCTATCAGAACCTCTCCCTCGCCCCCTGATCGCAGGTTAAAATAACATGACTCAATAAAAACAAGTCCAGTTTGAAATCTTTTACAAAATCGTCATTCCTTGTTAGACCTAAATTTACCTTGGTCTATATGAAATAAATAAGCTTTGCCCCGTTTGAAAGTTTTTACGCTATTGTCCCGCTATTAAAATAGAGCCGACTCTCTGATCAAAAACTTGATGTCTGAGAAGTCGTCCTTTGAAATCCATTCAATGACTGCAGGGTTTCCGTTACTTGTTATTTTTCCTAATATGTAATAATAACCCATTGATAAATCCAATTACTTATCAACTGTTTGTATTTTGTCTGTACACGGAATAAATCGACTGTAGAGTGTTTTGACTAAGAAGAGAAGAAATCATTGTTGCTACGGTATAGGCCATTTCTTCCCCGGAGAACTCAAGAATTAAATTTGTACCTTTTTTAATTTCAAGATGCAAAAAAGATTGCAAAAATGATTTCGAGCCACTTAAAAAACGCCTCGCGTTTTCCGGTTCAGTGTAGAAATCCACTCAGTTCCCCTCTTTAGTTGGGTAGTCATAATTAGTAATCCCCACTTTGTAATGGAATCTTCTTGTATCGAATTGCTATCGTCTGACTGTACTCGACAACGGTTTCTTGAGAGTCTCTATTCACGTGAAGATAGATGGTAGTCAGTGTTTTGGTGATTACGTAATGGGCGCGGTAGACTCCAACTGAAGTCACCGGTCATGGGATTCCGTTTCCACAAAAAGGTTTAAGTGTTTGTTCCAAATCTGACATAACTCCTGGTGGAATGTATATTATAAAATTTATACAAGCACAGATGTTGGATGAAGATCAGGTATTGTGACTTAAGCATTCCATATCGAGCTTAAGAAGTCCCAGGAAACATCCCAAAAGGTTACACGTTAAGATCCGCCGAATGCCTTGAAAAGAGATGGCAATCCTGCTTAAAGCTTTTTCAAGTACCCCTGGGGTTTTAGGGGATGTATTCCCTGGGGAAAATGTTTCCAAGCAACCCTCCTGCCTATGTCCCTGTCTCAAATGGACTTCAAAAGTGATAAGATCAAGTAAATTTTTAATTTCCCTCAAAAATAAATCCATCGTTCAGCACGAAAAACGATTAACTTGTTGACTCGATCTCTCAAATTCATAGGACTGTTTCAAAGTTTAGCTAAATATGTATCTTTTCAAGCTTGTCATTCTGCCCACTGTGCGCTTGTGTCGGCTCTTTTGTTTAATCTGTCAGTGCAAAATGGGCGAAAATTATTTTCAAAGCTCTGCCTTTATTAATTCCTCTCTCTATTGTGTGAAACTTTGAAATATTGGCATGGCCTAATAATTGAGAACTCCCGTAGAGTCTTTGAATTGCATTGTCACTTTGCACTTTTTTTTGAGCAGATCACTGAGTTCTAACGATGATAATTAATTTTGCGGTTAAGGCTAAGAGCGGATGAAAATGTCAAAAGTTCGTTGTACCAAGTTGATTGATGTCCGTGGTAAAATAATCGGTGTCATTAGTTCAAACCTCATAACAGTAGCCGAATTTTGATGTAAGATTTAGCGGTAACCGCAAGCATGGCAAGGAAATAAATATAGCTCCTAAGGAAACTGTTGTGAGTTTTTCATTATTGGAAACATAAGGAAATTAGATTTTTGTAAGCTGTTACTTCATCAGCGAAAAGCTAGCGCCATAGTTAAGCAGTGGCAGAAGCGGAAGATCACTGACAATAAACATGTTTGTAGAAAAAAAAAGAGACTGATTACAAAGAATGCATTGCGCTACGACAAAATTTTTAAGGAAACGAACGAAATCTGTACTACGTAAGTCAAAACAGAAAACGGAGGAACCCTAGATAGAAACTGAGGAAATATAAAATAACAGAAGATCTATCTGGACTAACTTTTACTGAAGCTTCACCGACCAAAGAGTTTCAGATGGTTCGTACGTGCTTTGTTTTCGCGGAAATGAATTTGAGGTAGAGTGGGAGCAGGAAACGCGTAGCAAATTTAACGTCGTAAATTGCCGCCCGTACCACAAGGAAATGAGTGCTTAATGCAGTAGTTTAACGGTGGGCTTGGAACGCTTTTCGAGAAAAACTTGACTGAAATTATTCCACATCTTTCTCGAGTTCAGAGGGCAGGAGTTTACAGACGAGCACGGGGAAATCGAGCTAGTTGGGCACGTAAATTTTACTTATACTATGAGTGCGCCGGGAAATTGTTCTCACGTTTTTTTACACGTGCCATTCGGTAATTATCTCCTGAGTAGTCACGCACCTGGACCTGTCGTTTAATATTGGGGTTACCACACTTGACTACTCAAACGTGATGATCGAGTGCAAATATGTTGTGTTTATAAATCAATACAATGGTGTTTATATCATTAAAACGGGCGTATGAGTGAAATGCGGTCGAAGTGTTAAACACCATCTGTTAAGTTGATTTACTTACCCAAATATAAAAGAACTTAGCGTATTTCACACAAGTCACTGTTAAACATACTATTAACACGTGGCAAACTATGAAAACGACGCAAGTTAGCCAAGTTGTAAGCATTCTAAGAATTTTATGGTCCGTTACTTTTTGAATAATTAATAGTCAGTAAATTTACTTAAATTCTTAGCATGGCTTTTCTAGAAACCGACTTAAGTATACTAAAAAAATTTGAGGAATATCCGGGTGTTTTAGTTGAGACCAACAGTCAAGTGGAAGGTTTCATCGTTAAAC